ATCCCACTGTGACAGGGGAACTCAAATACCCTGCCACAGGAACGCCGAGGGGAAAGGAAATAAAGAAGAAAGCTTGCACCAAGGCACAGGAAGAACCACAGCAAGCCCAAATGGGAAGAAAGCTGTGACATGCACAATGATAGGAGCCGACTGAGTCCATGGCAGATCAAAGTTTGCCATGGCAAATACAGCTGCCGGGGTTCAAACCCGGACGTAGGAAACCAGCACGGCTAAACAGAAAGGAAAAAACCTGCATCATGGAGGGAAAGAAGAAACAGCTGGGACGTGGGCAGTGAATAGAAAGCCACCAGGGTGGCCCCAGCTGGGGAGAAGCAGGATTTAAGGGACACAGGGAGGGCAACCCGGGGTTGGATGGAGAGAGCAGGAGAAAAGAAGAGAATAAGGAGAAGGATGAGATCCGCGAAGAGGAGAACCGACCCTGGAGACTAGGGAAGAGCTCTGGTTCTCCAACTTCCCTGGAGGGGACAGTGACGGATCCTCTCAGATGAGAGGAATCAGCGCAGGACCAGAGGGAGTTGCCCATCCAGTCAGTCCAACCTCGTGGGGTGAAGGCAACCACTCCCGGGATCTGGAAGGAGATACCGATGTGGGAGAAGTTCCTCCCCAAGGGCAGTGAGCACGTCCCTACCCTGAACATAAGGGAGGGATGAAACAGGAGGAAGAACTGTCTTGGGACCCGTACAAGGAAGAATGGGGCAAGCAGCCAAACTGAGACTAAGACTCTGAACAGGGGTCCTTTAGGCTGAAGCCTGAGCAACGGCCACGGAGGCGAGTAACAACGCGCCCAGAAGACCTGGTGTGGTTGGGGCAGGGATGGGGATGTGGGAGCCCTGTGAAGTCCAACTGACATCTGGAGCATATAATTAACCTTGTCTCCCAAAAGTGTTTGTGCATCACAAACTGTTGGGGACCAGGCTGTGACCAGGGAGCCAGCGAACAGGGTCTGCAACAGGGAAGCAGTTTGACTGCAGTTCACAGGCCAGTCGTGGGCAGGAGCACGTGGGGGCTTATGCCAGAGACTTCATGTAGATGAACGAGGAGGGGTGCTACTATGGGGGTGACACGCCCCAGCAAGCCCCGTGTCCTAGGGAAGTCATATAAATGGCTGGGTGGGCATCAGGGAAGGGGAAGAGTACAGCCAGGCCCCAGATCTGCTCCTGCTTCCTCCTGGGCAGCGCTGGAATCATGATCCCAAGCAAGTAGCAAGCTTGGGCCCCTGCGCTCCCCTGGCTGGGCCTTGCTCAGGTGACAGGTGCTCCCAGCCTCTGGAGCGCACTGGAGCCTTCAAGAAGAGCTGGGTGATCTGGAGGCTGGGAGCACTGGCCACACATTCAATGAAAGGCATGATGGGAACCAGCTATAAAGTTGTGCAAATTCTGTCAAATAATGCTGTTCGTTATTCCTCGGTTTATCACACTGATTGAACATGTGGCCAGAGCAGAACTTAAGATGTCGTTATCCAGTTAATTGCATCTTTATTGTAACTTCGGTACAGGCCTTGGTGTGAGGGGTTAGGAGAGACAGCCCAGCCTGGGGTCATTGCCTGGGGGGCCCAAGCCTGCCCGGGACTCTGAGTGGCAGCCTCACCCCAGCGGGGGAGTCCAGCTGGCCCCTGGCAGCACCTCCTGCCTGGTGCTGGGGAGCGCACATTGCCCGTCTGGCTCCACCTGTGGCAGCAGACTCCAGGCAGCCAGCAGCTCCCCGGAGGGTCTGCTCTAGCAGCCTCTCTGATCCCGTGCGCTCTGGTGTCCTGGTTGCCTCACTCTGCTTGTTCTGCTCCCAGACTCTGGGTTCTGGATTTTCTCTTGGGTTTGGTAGGTCAGCCTCCGACACCTGGATTTTGATCTGGCTTGTGATACAGATCCTGCCTCTTGGAGTGTATATTGTCATTTGGTATCTATTTTTGACCCATGACTTGGCCTATGTTCTGGACACTAGCAGGTGACAATGGACTGGGGCTTGCCGGGCACTGAGGTGTGCATGTATGGAGAGGGGCAGGGAGTGCAATGGGATCACTCTGCTTCCCAGGCATCTGTAAGGCACAGGGGATGCTCAGGTTTCCTTTTCCTGTCAGCCTGCCACCTCCAGCACACCAGGCCTGCTCCCTCCTCACCCTTCTCTGCTCCCTTTGGGGCCCTGTCCCAAGCTCAAGGACAGACAGCAGTCCCTGCGGCTCTCATGCACTGCAGGACATTACCTGCACACAGGGACTGAGAGAAAGCAGTAACTGGTCTGTGGGCTCCTATATATGACTGCACAGGAAGGGATGGTCAGGGCCCTACGCTCATCCTGCAAGAGTTTCAGGACTACTTCTAGCATACAGTCAGAGCATGAGAGTGACACATAGGCATTCACATGCCAAACTGCGTCACCGGTACTGGAGTGCAGTACATTTACATGTAGTACATTTGCATGTAATCTGCATCTCCCCAGTTAGATGGCTTGGTCTCCTGGTGCTGCTGAGAGCCTAAAAATGGTTTGTTGTCCACTAGTGGGGAAAGGAGAGACGGCTCCCACCAGGCTCAGGCAGGATGATCTCTGCTGCTCCACTCCTCTGCCTCCTCATGGTCTGGTTTCATGGTAAGCATGAAAAGAAAGACTGTAAAACCCTTGGCCCATAGTTACTTAAGGGCCTGCACTGGATCTGAGTGTGTTTACAGTGGAAAACTCAAACAGTTTCCCAGGGTGTGAGTGCTTCCATTATTATTGTATCCTGTTCACTACAAACTCATTGGCTATTTCTAGACTCCTCTGGGCAAGTCGTGCTAACTCAGCCTCCAGAGTCCCTGTCGGACCCTGTGGGAGGAAGAGTGTCTGTCACCTGCAAAGCCAGTGCCCGTATTAGCAATTGCCTGAACCGGTACCACCAGAAACCTGGACAAACTCCCAAGCTCGTGGTCTACTATGCCAGCATCCTCCAGGCCGGGGTCCCTGCCCGGTTCATTGGCAGTGGTTCAGGCACGGATGTCACCTTCACCGTCAGCAATGTTGAAGCCGACGATGCTGCAGATAACTACTGTCAGCAGTGTTACCAATGGCCTCATACAGTGACACAGCCCAGCACAAACACCTCCCTGCCACCTTCAGCTCTGCTACTATCAGTTCTGTTTGCAGCTGTTTCATGTTCAGATCTGTTTTTTCCAACAGGAAACATCTGAACTCTCACTGTTAAAGCAGAGCACAGACAGATGAGGAGCGTTTGGCTGAGCACCAGGGGCTCTTACACACATGCAGGGAGTCTGCTCCAATGTGCTAGAAATCCAGCATGTCAGAGCAGACTCGGTTTATTGAGTCTTGTCTCAGACGGCCGGAGCCGACTTGAGGTGATTTACCAATTACTCAGCCGTTGGGCGGGCTAGTGAATGGAGAGGCAGACAAAACGTATTGGTTGCAAAAAAGGCTTTACTTACGCCGCTAGTAGCTGTGACGCAGGTGGTCCGATCGCTTAGATAATTACACGAGTTGCTCCAGCTGGCAAAAAACCCGGGCCAGCGAATCCGTAAACGAACCAGGCATGCAGGAAAAGGGGTACGGCGAAGGATAGCGTTTGGCGACGGGGAGAAAAATCGATAGTTGATCAGGCTATCGATTCACTCTGCCATGAGTCAGGAATTCTCTTAAGTCACTCTGCAGCATGCTCAAAGTTCTCCGACTTGGGCGGAAGTCGCACAGAATTTTATACGGCTAGCAAGCCAATCGCTAGCCGCCACCTAGGGATAATTTAGAA